GGGCACATGAGGGGACATGAGAGGACACGGGGGACACAGGAGGACACAGGGGAACATGGGGGAACATGGGGTGGGTCACAGGGGCTCGGCGGGACACAGAACCCACCCCAGCCCAGATCCTGTTGGACAAATCCACCCCAAACCATGTCCTGTTGGACAAATCCACCCAAAACACCACCCAGCCAGGGTCCCGCGGCACAAACCCAGCCCAAAGTGTGTCCTTTTGGGTAAATCCACCCCAAAAACATCCTGTTGGACAATTCCACCCCCAAACACCACTCAACCCATGTCCCATTGAACAAATCCACCCCAAAACATGTCCCTTTGGGTAAATCCACCCCAAAATACATCCTGTTGGACAAACTCACCCCAAACACGTCCCAGTGGGTAAATCCACCCCAAAAACGTCCCTTTGGACAAATCCACCCCAAACACGTCCCGTTGGACAAACCCACCCCAATCCCCATCCCTTTGGACAAACCCAACCCAAACCATGTCCCATTGGGTAAATCCTCCCTAAAACACCACCCAACCCATGTCCCACTGGACAAACCCACCCCAAACCATGTCCCATTGGACCAATCAACCCCAAACACGTCCTGTTGGACAAACCCATCCCAAACACGTCCCGTTGGACAAACCCACCCCAGCCCTGTTCCCCGGCACCTTGAGCAGCTTCTCCTTCTTCCTCCTCCACTCGTCCCACTCGTTGACGATGCGGCCCCAGAGGATCCAGGTGTCCTCCTCCAGGTGGCTGAGGTTGGAGGAGGCCGAGGAGCTGGAGACCAGCGAGGAGCCGCTGTTCCGCCGAGACCCGTTCATGGAGCGCATCGACTTCGAGTCGGCCTCCAGCAGCCTGGGGGGACAGGGCACCCCCCAAACACGGAGTTATTGCCTCCAACGGGCCCAAAAATGGAGATATTCCCACCAAAAATGGGGATATTCCCACCAAAATGGAGATATTCCACCAAAACGGAGATATTCCACCCAAAAATGGAGATATTCCACTGAAAATGGAGATATTCCACAGGAAATGGAGATATTCTACCAAAAATGGAGATATTTCACTGAAAATTGAGATATTCCACAGGAAATTGAGATATTTCCCCCAAAAATGGAGATATTCCCACCAAAAATGGGGATATTCCACAGAAAATGGAAGTGTTCCATAGAAAATGGAGATATTCCACCCAAAAATAGAGACATTCCACCAAAATGGAGATATTCCCCCCAAAATGGAGATATTCCCCCCAATATGGAGACATTCCACAAAAATGGAGATATTCCACCCGAAAATGGAAATACTCCACAGAAAATTGAGATATTCCACTGAAAATGGAGATATTCCACAGGAAATGGGGATGTTCCACCAAAAATGGAGATATTCCACAGGAAATGGAGATATTCCCCCCAAACATCCCAAAGAAGGAGATACTCCCCCAAAAACACACCAAACCTTGAGATATTCCCACAAAACCACGCCCAAGGAGGAGGGATTCCCCAAAAGGAGCCCCAGAAAATGGAGATATTCCCCAAAACAGCCCCAAAAATGGAGATATTCCCCCAATTAGCCTCCAAAATGGAGATATTCCCACAAAATAGCCCCCAAAATGGAGATATTCCCCCAAATAGCCCCAAAAATGGAGATATTCCCACAAAATAGCCCCAAAATGGCAATATTCCCCAAAACACCCCCAACCTCCTGAGATATTCCCCCAAACCCACCCCGAAGGAGGGGAGATTCCCCACCAAGAGCCCCAGAGAACGGAGATATTCCCCCAAACCAGCAAAATTGCCCCCAACAAACGAGATCCGTGGATTTTCCACCCAATCCCCCCCCAGATCCAAGGAAAGCGGGGTCCCTGACCGGTTCTGCTCCTCCAGCTTGGCCAGCAGCTCCAGCTCGTCGGGGCTCAGGTTCTCCGAGTCCGAGGTCGGGGATCCCGCGGGCGCCGACGCCGACGCCGGGGCCTCGTGGTTCGATGCCGGGCCCTCATGGTTTGATGCCAGGCCCTCGTGGCTCAAGGCCGGGCCCTCGTGGTTCGATGCTGGGCCCTCATGGCTCGATGCTGGGCCCTCGTGGCTCAGGGCCGGGCCCTCATGGCCCTCGTGGTTCGATGCCGGGCCCTCGTGGCTCGACGAGTCCGGGCTGGTGGCCGGCGAGGCCATGGCGGCTGCGGGGCCGGGGCTCACCTGGGGGGGGGCAAAAATCTCCTTAAAATCCCATGTTCAGCCCATTTTTCCCTCAGCCTGAGGGGATCCCAGGGGCCTCACCTGGGGGGACAAAAACAGCCTGAAAATCCCACGTTCAGCCCATTTTTCCCTCAGCCTGAGGGGATCCCAGGGGCTTCACCTGGGGGGGGCAAAAATCTCCTTAAAATCCCACAGTTCAGCCCATTTTCC